GTTTAAAGATCTTCCTCTTAATTGTGGCGTTAATTCAAAACTTTGCCTACCATCCTAATGCGGAACTTATACCTCCTACTCCTCACCTATTGACTGTCTCGTTATCTGACATTTCATGTTTATGACAATAGTAAAAATTTATTCTACCATTTTGCACATTAAAGACATATGTCTGGCAATAATGAATGCTGATCTGTGGATCAAGAGTAACACTGGCTGTGATGGTTAAGTAACAATCACATTATGTGTCATCTTGGGTGGGCCATTATTCTCAGTGGTTTGGCAGTTAACCACCATTTTGTGATCTGATGTGGTCATCTTCTATTTTTGCATCAGTGATTTTTGCATAATGACCTGGTCTTTGGAGACTAATCATGTCCATAAGTGAGGATTGGGTGTATTTTTAAAAGTATAAGATACAACCTCAGTTATAAAGAGTTACCATTTCATGAAGGTATTTTACAATAATGGTGAAGTGTGGTGTAATTCAGAGGTTTTAGGTCGATGTTTCCCGTGGTGGTGTGTCAGTCATCACTATTAGCATGGGAGGAAGGGAAAGATGATTGTCATTATACAGGCAGGCAAAGGGGATTGTCCACCTTCCTCTTATGTCACCCACAAATACAGTGGGTATGCTGGTAGCATATCAAATTTGAATATAGGGTTCAGAATATTAAAAAGATTCTTAAATTACAATGGTGGCATAGTGCCTAAGGCATTTGACTACTAACCAGAAGGCTGGCGGTTCAAACCCACCACTCACTCCTCTGAAGGAAGGTTGGACAACCTACTTCCATAGTAATACCACCTCGGAAACCCAAAGAGGGGTCACTATGAGTTGATTCACCTCGATGGAAGTGGGTTTGGTTTTTTGGTTTTTGGTTTTAGGAAACAGATGCTTAAGAGATCCAGAGAAGAGAGCTAGAGTAGCCTAGAACAGCAGAGGCTCTTTCATGGTGGTAACAGATGAACTGGCAAGATTTATAGAGGTAAAGAAAAGGGATAAGAATTTCTTCAAAAGCCATTTGCATATTGACTCCTATGTTTTCTGTATTAAAATCTTAATTTGAAGGCAAAATGTCTGTTTTTACGCTAACAACTTATTTTAGTATCTACATATTATGAGCAAAAAAATAGTGATAATTTTTATATACTTTTAAATATTGTACACAGCACTTTCTGTGTTCTTTTTTAACTGGCTTTGATAATAAGCCACACTACATAAATGAGCCTGAAATGGACAGTGAAGGACCATGTATCTCAGATTAAAGCTGTGTAAAGTCTGGGAGGTAAGAACTCTGTCCTAATTCAATCAGGGAATGCAATTGAGGTGAAGCTCTAAATAGTGGCAGGCCTGAAGAGGATGTGGTACTGGACACAGAGAGGTTAAACAATTTAGAGATGTTGCTCATTAAAGTCAGGACTGCCTCTTATTTCCAAATGTAAGTAAAGTCAGAATTATCCTTGATAATGTATAAATTGAATTTTTGAGCTATTTTTCTAAATCTTCTGAAATTATTTGTATTATCCCAGTGAGTGTGTCAAATGAAACTATCATTACATTTTTTTTAATAGGAAACTACTAGATATTTTATAAACTTAACCATAATAGGAAAGACTAGAACAATAGAAGTCTTGATATCTGTTCATCTGGAATTTTCTTTAAATAATTGTATTTCCTAATCTCTTATTCATTTTAACAGTAAGCAAAGGTTTTCTACACCCTTAGTTTAGCATATTGTTTTGTAAAATGCTAATTTCTACTTTTACTGTGCTCCTAAGGCATAAATAAATATTGTACTATTGGGCTTTTGTATAATTCATAACATTGCATTTTATGTATTTTTAGAAGCATGGATAAAAATAAAACAAGGAAAATAAAGTGTAAAAATAAAATAAATACAATATTCTTAGTTGTTCAGTATGTAAAGATGAGTTATTTTTAATTATAAGCATTTACTTTTTCCTGAAGTAGTTTATTTTATGAAATGCAATCAGAAGCTACATGGCATACCCAAATGTTGTATCTAAATTACTTGTGTTACCATACATATTTAGAATTATCATCTAGAAACTACATACAGAATTCATTATGCCTGTACAGTAATCAGTAGGATTCCTGGGTATTGCAAATAGTTAATACACTCAATGGCTAACCAATAGATTGGCAATTTGCGTCCACCCAGAGGTGCCTACGAATAAAGGCCTGGAGATCTACTTCTGAGAAACTTAGCCATTAAAAACCTTACAGAGCCCAGGTCTACTCTGACACACACAGACTGACCATGAGTCAGAACTGGCTCAATGACAACTGTTTAGAGAGTAGTTGACAGTATATGGGTGATATACAATCATTGTAATCCAAGATACGCAACAACAATGCAATGTACTGCCGTCAAGTCGGATCCGATGCATAGCAACCCCTCCTTGGATTTCAGAGGCAGTATCACTACGGAAGTAGATTGCCCAACCTTCCTTCTGAGGAGTGGCTGGTGGGTTTGAACCATCAACCTTCTGGTTAGCAGTCAAATGCCTTAGGCGCCACGCCATAAGTGAGGTTATAAAAGCCACTATGTATGAAGTGAAAAGCAGAGTTATAAGAATTAGATATCCTCTATATACACTTGTAATTCCCTGCCCTCCTTGTAGCTTCAGCTCCTTGGTGTTCTTGGTAACATCATGAAGACAAAGTCTAACAGAAACAATATCTACTTACTGATCCAAATGGGAACAGGCTAAGCCTGGTGTCAAGTGTTTCTCAAAAGAGAAAACTTGCACCCAAGTTTATAAACGGCAGAGAGTTTCCCACATTGCAATTCTCTAATTTTTTCCCTGTTGAACCTATAATTCAAATGCAATATCAATCCACATCACATAAGAAGAAACCAAAGCCATTTTTTAAGGGAAGTAGAGTCTTTGGGAAATTTACCATCTACATTGCTATTAATTATATTATCATTAAATATTTCCAAGGCTATAGATATGTAAATACACAATTTGATGTTTCAGATTCACATAGTGTATCTTACAATGTAACTCATATTTTACGGAAACAAACCAAAAAAACTTGACTAATTGCACTTTAAAACTGAAATAAGCTAAAGGGAATTGTTTTATGGTTTGCCATACTATTAAAACAAATCTTCTATGTGGAATGGTTCCACTGTTATCTTTTGACACAAGGAAAAACTGCAGTATGTGGGAAACTGATACTCTATCAGATTGCCTAATCTATCTTCTGAGGAGTGGCTGGTGGGTTTGAACTGCCAGCCTTCTGGTTAGCGGTCAAATGCCTTAGGCACTATACCACCAGAGCTCCCTTTTTAACATTAGGAGAGTAAAAATACATAAAAAATCATGACAAGGTTATAGCTCTTCTAGCATTAAAGTTATTCCTGGAGAATATTTTACATGAATTTAAAATAACTGTTAGGCTTCTTTAAGAGTAAACTCTACACACAATCTCATTATGCTCTTACTTTTATCTGCTGCTACCCTTGTAAATGAAAGTATTGTGTGTGGGTGCATTTTCCAGCTAAAAGACACAACCAAGTTCCAAAATGTTCATTTTAATACATATTAGTGAAAGCTTTCTACTGTATAATGTTTTGAAATGTATGTTTTATTGTTGTTAGCTGCTGTTGAGTGGGCTCCCATTCATGACAACATTGTACAACAGAACAAACTCTCACCTGGGTCTGCATAATGGTTAGTGATGCTCATGACGATCGTCGTTCATGATCGTTAGTACGCTTAAGTCCATTGCTGTGACCCCGGCACATTTTGAGTGCCTTCCATCCTAGGAAACTTATCCTCAGTACTATATAGGTCAATATTCTGCTGTAATCCATTCATTGGCTAATTTTTGGAAGTAAATCATTAGCCCTTTCTTTTCTGTTTTAGTCTGGAAGCTCTGCTAAAACCTGTCCACCATGGATGACTCTGCTGGTATTTGAAATACTAGTGGCATAGCTTCCAGAATCATAGCAAGCAAGCCACTGCAATACAACCGATTAATAATTCCTTCCATCTCTCCCTTAGGACAACTTTCCATGGGTACCACCGCCCGTGTGTTTCATAAAGTCATTGTGTTTCTCCTTCTCTGGGCTCTTTGTCTTGCCAACACACATACATTGGCAACTGGCCCTGATACTGTCTATACCAGATACATTTGTTGTCTGATGATATATATATATAACTTCTTCTGCCCACTCTGATGGAGAGAGAGGGTCCCTAATCTCTCGCTGCACAATTTACGGGGGGGGGGGGGGGGGGGGGGGTTGAAATTAAAATTTTTTTTTTTTTTTCCATGACAAAACTGAATTTAAGCTACAATTTTGAAGAAAACTGACTTGAAGATTTGGGAATACTAGAAGAACTACATCAGAAAATAAATATATAAATAAATATGTCTTGCCAACTACTACCTAAGACCAGACTGTCCCCAGAGTTTTATACTGGAAGCTCTCTTTGATTCTGGTAGAGAGGTGCAGTCCCCTTCTCTTGCCTTCACCAATCCCTATCAGAATGGCTTCCTCCAGTTTTTGCATACTCTGAGGGTTCAAAAGCAAAGAGACAGACTAGCCATCTCTCAATGATGACTTCTCTCAGGATGACTAAAAACGAAAACATTTATTTCATTCAGAGAAAATCTCACGACCCACGGAGGGGACGTCTGATCCTACAGTCTTACTGAACAATCACTCCATTACTTTCCAAAAAATTGGCATCTTCAGTCTTATTTACTGTCACCTTGTTATGCCTGAATTATAGAAGTCATCACTCACCTTAATTTGTTATCATTCCCTCATTTTCTTTTATATATATGTAAAAGAATACACACACACACACACACATACATATATACATATATAAACACATACCAAAAAACAAACC